TTCAGTGACACCGAAACCATCCTGTCGGAATTCAGAAAGACCGGAATAATTCTAACTGGAACTGATGCTGAGTCTGACGACAGCGACACAGAAGAGGAAGAGGCGCTCTGTTTACATCATGGATCTGTGGTTTATCTCCGGAGGTCACGTGCAGAAGTGACACAGAGGACAAAGAATTCAATAGATTTATTGATTTGGAGTGAGATCATGAGTTTGGTAAACTTATGTTCTGTTGTTTATGCTATAATTATCCGAGTAACTGTTAATATATTATATTAACATATTAACGCCTGTTCAGTCTGTTGTTCTCTGTTCTATTGTTATTACTAGAGCTTACCTTTCAAGATAAAATGTCGGTTCCTGGTCTCTGATTTTATAAAATACATTTCCCCAAAAAGTGCAACGTATATATGTTTTTTTCTTCATTGTGCATTTTTTGGCTGGTGCGACTTATACTCCGGAGTGAGTTATAGTCCAGAAAATACGGTAATTAATATTTAAAAGTGCTTAGAACTGCTGTTTCTTCATGTAGTTTGCACCAGAATGGAGCAAAGGATCATGGTCGATGTAGTTCCCTCTGTTTTTTTTAGCTATTGCTGCACCATAACAATGAATTTAAGCAAATAAACTTGTCATTCGATATATTGTGATGACCCACGATAATACTGAGAGACTGTTGACGATACGATATCATGATATTTTGGTTATTTTTGGCCAGCTACACAATGCAATGAATAAGTGACAAAATAAAAAAAATATATATGCAAATGGTGTTAGATGTATTCAAAGAGGAAGCACCTTTTTCCATTGACAGATTATTTGTCGAATCTGACTTTGGTAATTTCTCAAACCCTCAAATAAAATAAAATGTTGTATAAAAAAACAGCTCTTGAATAACTGCCAGATAGATGTTTAAAGTCATACTGTGGAACATCCAGTCATGCCGTAACAAATATTTGGCAGCCCTCCATCCGAAAAGTTACACACACGTCTTCAAATCAAGTTAGTTTCTCAGTTTGAGTACTTTTAACTCGTAGCTTGTATTTGTTGCAGTTACTCTAGTACATTTTTGGCTTCCCTCCCCGGCCCTCGTCTTCTAAATGGAGGCAGACACTGGCGGTTTAGGCTGCTGGCCGCGCTGCAGAGGGAGGGGAGGTTTCATGGTGACAGACAGGAGCTGGCGCTGAAGCAGGAGACGAGATAAAGACGAAATCATTGAGTCAATCAGACCCAGGCCGCGGCGCAATCACCACATCTCATCTGTTTTCAAGAGCAATTCTGCCTTTTATTGAGCTGTTGTGCCTCAAACAGGGAGCGGAGAGGAGGGAGAGTTAACCCCTTCGCCGCCACGGAGCTGCTGGTGGCGCCGGTGCATCTGAACACTGAAAACTACGGTCAGCGCCGAGACAAACGCAAAGGCAGCGGAGTTAAACGTGTCAACATGAGGCAGAGATTAGGGCTTTAGGTTAAACTGTTTCCTACCATGTTTTTTGATTTTATTGATTTTTGATTTGTCAGTACTGTTCTTAGAGACTAGAGGTTGTCAAAATATCGGAAATCTGATACTAGGGGTGTGTAAAAAATATCGGAATATTGATATATCGTATCGTTTAGTGTGATGATACAATATCGATATCGTGGGCTGCTGTATCGATATATCACCGAGAGGATTTTTAGGTGTGTTTTACTAAATTATTTTGTTACAGAGCTACAGTTTTGTGGCTTGTGGAGTGAAAGGAAACTCATTTATGCAACACATTTGACATTTTTACTGTTCTGATGATTAAAATGTTTGTGTTTCATATGAACTTTGCACAAGAAGTGGTTTAACAAAGACTTTTAGTATCACAGCCACGATTTAGCCTTTATTTTTTATTGAACTGTATCGAATCGGGTTGAAATATATCATATCGAATCAAAATCGTGACCTGTGTATCGAGGTATGTATCGTATCGGCAACTTCTTAATGATACCCAGCCCTATCTGATACTAATAGTGGTATCGGAACTAGATATTCATTTGAGCAGGTATCTAAAAAAGTCACTTTCACAGGACAGAAATGAACTTTTCTTGAGTAGTTTTAAAATGATCTTGAGTTGTTTCAAGATTTGAGTTGTACAAGTATTTAACCACATAGAGCAGACATGTCAAACTCAGGCCCTGGAGCCAAATTTGGCCCACGATATATTTATATTTGGCCCGCGAGATCATATAAAATATGTATTAAAGCTGCCCCGCCGGATATACAGGGGCTAAAAAGACATTATTTATTTAAAATTTTATTATTATTATTTTATATTTTGCTTGTTCCGGATTGAATGTTTAAGCCAAACTATTAAATATTTATTTTAATAAGAAAAGATTTAACATTTCATATCTCGAAAGAAGAGAAAACACGCAGATGTTGTTGAAATTTTTCAATAAATATTTAGTTTGGCCCACGACTTAGTCACAGTTCTTAATTTCAGCCTGTAAATCTGAGTTTGACACCCCTGACATAGACGATACGCTCATGATCCACTACAGATGTAACAATAAACAAAATATTGTGATATCGTATCGTCAAAACTCACAATAATATCGAGAGCGGACACAATATATTGAATTACAAGTTCCTCTGGTTAAATGCATTTTTCTATAGTAGCAACAGCTAAAAAAAAAACCATAGAGAACTACATATCCCATGATTCATTTCAACGCAGACAACATGAAGAAATATGTTTTTTTAACTTTAATTATTGGGATTATTACCTAAGTCTTGTCAAGGTATTTTAAATGCAAAAAATATCCTGTCTACAATTACATTATAGTAACCACTCCAAAATATTACAATTAATATGTGAAATGAATATCGTGATAATATTGTATCGTGAGAAGACCACATAATATAAAAGAAAGTGCTGTGATTTAATGTTGTAAATCCCATTCTATTATCCAAAGAAAGTGTTTTTAATCATTGTGGTTTTTGAATCAATATTGAGTTGAGTATCGAGTCTGTTCCTTATTACCAAAATGAATTGACTTTTAAATTTTAGTATCACGGCTAGGGATGGGCATGATTAGTCGACTAATTAATAATTGATCATTAAGAATATCATCGACCACATTCATTTTTAATCAACAAACCGAACGTAGCTTGCATTGTGTGAGGAGCCGAGGCTGCGTCTGACACAAACACTGGAGTTGTGCCTCACAGTCCCACGTTTGGGCTCTGGCTCCTTGGAGACACTGCACCAGTCAGTGAGTGTGTTTACAGCACATCAGTGTCCTGGGTATGATCGGGTTTTTTGAGTGTCCCGGTTTCTTCATGGTGCAGGTAAACGCAGTATCCCGGTTACTAGGGACGGGCATTCGATGAAATTTTCTTCATCGATCGTCGGAAGAATTAACGATCGATTATCGATTAATCATTAACGTTTTTATATTAAAATTATCATCATTATTATTACTGTCTGCACTAATCTGCGTAAATAAATTCAACTTTACGACATATAAACCGTAACCACTCTAAAGCCACATCAATCCGTTTGACATTATAATGTGTTTAATTCAATTTTGCGCAACTCTTACAGAAACAAATCTTAAAACCGCATCGCTAATTTGCATAAACTAAGCGAAGATAAAACTACAGCTCTTGTGTCGCTGATGTGGTTCAATTTCTGTTGGATTAAAAGACATGACTCAGTGGAATACAGGTTAGTGTGAACATATTTGCGTTTGTCAAAACCAGGACACCGTACGGGGGGAGGGAGGTGGGGACTCGTCATCCACATTGAGCGACTCTCACCTGGAAAAACTTTTTCCCACTGGACACAGAAACATATGTGCTGCTTTATACACTGTGCACATGGACTCACACTTGTCCTGAACGCAACAGAAAGCGTGGAATTTCTTGTACAAGTCATCGTTAAATACACATTTGTGCTTCGATACGTTGCAGACTGACCCACTGTTTGTGTCTCGCTCCTTCTGAGTGCAGAGACACATGTACGGACACCTGTTTAGTCTCCATACACTACACACAACAACCTACATTCAGTTTGTCGATTAAAATGAACGTAATCGATGAAATTCTTAATGATCAATTATCGATTAATCGATTAATCATGCCCATCCCTACTGGTTACTACAACATAAAGTTGAGTGCATGTGTCCAAAAGACAAACACTTTTCAGTCTTTTCATCACAACAGAAGACAAAATAAATAAAGTGAACAACATAAACAAAGTGAGTGAAATTACTTTTAAATAAAGATCTGCACTAAGAGCTAAGAACAGTGCTTGTAGTTTATGCAAATGAGCCATGTGGTTTTAAGTTTTGTTTCTCTAAAATGTAAACAAATGTGTCAAAGCTGCATTAAACACATTATAATCTCAAACGGGCTGATGTGGCTCTGGAGTGGTTATGGTTTATATGTTTTAAAGTTTAGTTTATTTATGCTGATTAGTAACAGCAATAATAATTATGATAATTTTAATATAAAAATGTTAATGTTTAATCGAAAATTGATTGTTAATTCTCCCAAAAATTTAATCAAACGCCCATTCACACACACAACTCTACTGTTGCTGTGATTAATTATTTTATCAGGGGTCTTAAAACTCTTATAAAGGTCTTAAATTTCATGTTCCTAAATTAAGGCCTTAAAAAGTCTTAAATTACGTTGTTCAAGTCTTATTTTTTTTCACAAAGGTCTTCAATTTCATTAACCTATTTTTTTGTTTACTCACCCGACGTCTTGTTAGAACGTTATAAATGATTTTTTGGCCATTTTTTTGTTATTTAAAGCAGTAATTAGAATTGGATCTGGTGTTTTTCGCCTGCATAATGGGTGCGATGTTGGTCTTAATTTTCATGTAACTGGTCTTTAAAAGTCTTAAATTTGGTGTAGTCGAACCTGGGGATAGTCTGTTGATGTTGAATACAAATATATTACTTTAGCAAATAAGAATACAGAATTATTTTTAAACATAATTTTCCCAAACTTTGTCCTCCCCCAGATTTCAGTCGCATGGTGGGCCCTGAGGTGTCCAAGCCGGCGTACGGGTGCCAGGTGACCATCCTCTCGGAGCAGGAGAAACAGATGCTGAAGATGTACCGCAGGGAGGAGAAGAGAGAGAGGAAACGCGCCAAAGCCACGGACGACACCGACGGCTACGATGCTTCCCTGAACTTTGACCCCCGAGAGATGAGAGTGCAGCGGTACGAGGCCATTGCTATTCTTCTGCCCCTTTCTGTGTCCTCAGACCACCTGCGCTCCCAGACAGAATCAATCCTGGTTTAGACGTGGTTTAGTTTTGATGTAGTCCTGGTTTAGATCTGGTTTAGACCTGTTTTAATCCTAGTTTATTCAAGTTACATCGTTTTTCTACGCATTTTATTTGTCCTCAGCCCATTTTTTGTGCCCTAACAGGACTACACACAGAATGAGACCAGTTTTAGTCCTAATGTAGTCCTGGTGTAGACCTCATTTAGACCTAGTTTAGGTTCTGGTGTAGACTTTGATTGTTTTTTGATTATTTATTTATGTTCGGTCACAGGTATATTTTGACATTAATTCACAGACAGTCATATTTAACACACACAGACCGAAAAGGTGCAGGCTGAAGCTTGATCTTATTCTGCCTTTACCCTTTATTCCTTTGTCAGAGCTTCATTTTAACACCAGTTCATCTTCAAAAATACAGCAAGGGGAAACAAACAAATCAGAAACAGAACAACAAAGTCCTACAGCACAAACTAAGTATCATATTTCATGTATCTGTCCAGAGTTAATGTTAGGTTTATCTAAACATTGTAAACAAGAAGAAAGACAAGAGATTAATTCAGTTTTACTCGCGAGGAGAACGGGCAGAAGAGTGGGCATCACAACCAACAGTCTCCACACGTTCTGATGACTCAAGGCCGCTCTCCTCTTTTTATTTCATTAGGGCCCTAGTTACAGAATGATAATTCTCAAGGGGAAGGGGAAACAGCCAAAGACATAATAAGAAACTGATGCAGCTATGCATAGTATAAACACATAAAACATGATTAACAATCAGGAGGTGCTTTAGGTATGGACAGACACCATCATAACTCTTGCATGTGTGACAGTGGGAGTTGGCTTCATGTGAGGAATCATCTCGAGGTTCACTAGAGCGATAGGACACACAGAGGTTATTCATTTTCATACAAGTGATTGGTACATTATAAATCAAAGAATTGTAGTACATAAATGGTTAACTCATAGGCATAGAATATCACACAAGAATTTAGCAAATATGGGATAATAAAATTATTCTGACAGTTAAACATTTAAACTTCTTTATAAAGTGAAACAGCCTGGTGCACAATTTTAGGTTTTCTGTACATTTGTTCCAGAGCTCCACCCCTTTAACAGATTTACAAAATTTCATAATGTTTGTTCTGATTTTCTTTTTGATAAACATGTCCGTACCTCTGAGCTCATATCGGCTCTTTTGGATTTTTAAAAGATTTTGACAGGAGATTATTGTTTACTTTGAACATGATTTTCAGAGTGTAAAGGTCGACTAAATTATAAAATTTCAGAGTTTGAAGGTTTATAAATAACACATTGGTTGATTCGTTTATAAGCTGATAATGTGACGCTCTTATTGCCTTTTTTGCAGGTAAAGACTGGATTTGTATTAGTCTTATATGTATTGCCCCAAATCTCAATACCGTACCGTAGACCGTATTTATAGTCCTTACATTCAGGTTAGATCAGGGGTGTCAAACTCATTTTGGTCCGGGGGCCGTATCCAACCTACTTTGATCCCAAAGTGGCCGGATCAGAAAACTCATGTCATATAAACCCCAAAAATAACAATAAGTTCAAATATTTGCGCAGAGAAACACAAATCTATTACAGAAATCTTTTTTTAATTGATGAACTCTTTCTTTTACAAAATATTATAATATTATGAACAACCTGAAACTTTAAGAAAAATGTAATTTCAACACAATGTTTTAACATGAACTTGTCTGCAAATAGGAATAAGTCAATTTTTCTTGTAAAATCCTGCACTCATCTCCAATTTTCTCATTTTTGACATTTTTCTGATGAGGGTGTCACGGTCAACAGTCAAAATGATCGTCCTTTAAGAGCGTTTGGCTGCTCTGGTGGGAGGGGCCACGTACAGAGACGCTGGAGACGCTGCTGTGATAAACACCACAGAAAATTACCAATATTTTAGTAGAAAATGTAATTAAAATATTTTAGTAGAAAATCATCCGAGGGCCAGATTAAAGGTCTTAGAGGGCTGAATCTGGCCCCCGGGCCGTATGTTTGACACCTGTGGGTTAAACATTAGATGTGCTCAAAATTGTGGGTATTGTATGCATTGTCTGGCAATGAAAGAAAAATCAAGAAACAATCATCACTGAAATATTTTGAAACTGATAAAAGCAATAATAAATAAAAAATTACTGAAAACTGTCCAACAAAAATCAAACACTGCATTTCACCTGTGGTCCAACAGAATTATTAGAAAAAACAAACTGATGGTACCCTTAACTTAATATTTTGTTGCACAACTTTTTGAGGCAATCTCTGAAAATACCGTATTTTCCGGGCGCTATTTAGACACGCTCTTAAGCCTCTAACCGCATCAAAAACGACCGCGCGTCCCAGAGCGCCCCATACAGGAATCCACTCGGGTGTCCCAGCACGACTTTAGTAAACTACAAAGCCGCACCACCCGCAGAACACGCAAACACACACGGAGCAGACAGCGACCGCACGGCGAAAAACACCCACAGACACACTCATCACTCCACGCCGACGAGGAACGGAACGAAGGAACGAACCGGAAAAGCGAGCGCAACGTGCCACTTCTAGACACGACTGAACAACTGAGTCACTGCGAACACGCCGACAATCCAGCGATCCCGGACAGCGCCCTCCCTATGCGGCGCAGTTGAACGAGGCCCAGAGTCGCCGTGAACGCAAACAAACTCCCACTGACCCATCAAACTGTTGCGTTTCGTTTAAAGTCCAGTGCAGTTTATTTGAAGTCCCACTGACCCATCAAATTGTTGTGTTTCGTTTAAAGTCCGGTGCAGTTTATTTGTGAAAAAAGTTCAAAAATAGACCATTTAATGACAGTGCGTCTTATAATCCAGAGCGCCTAATAGTGCGGAAAATACGGTAAATGATTTCTGTAACTGTTACTGAGACTTCTGCACTGGTCAGCCTTAGATTTGAAGGGTTCCTCCTCCAGACATCATCTTTCAGCTCCTTTCACAGAAGACCACTTTAGAACAATCCGATGTTTTGTCCTTAGTCATTCTTGGGTGTTTTTATCTGTGTGTTTTGGGTCATTATTCTGTTGGAATTCCCGTGAACTATGACTGAGACCGAGCTTTCTGACACGAGTCAACACATTTCGTTCCAAAATACCTCGATAGTTTTGAGATTCTGTTGTATCTCCATTGTTGATTTTCCTTTCATGTACATAGACACTTCCAGACTGAATGAGTCCTGGTTTAGTCCTCATTAACACAGTGTTAGTCTTGGTATAGTCCTTGTGTTAAACTGGTTTTAGTCCACAGCCCGTCTGCACCCACAGTCAATGCGATATGCAGAATAAGCCCATTTTAAATTAATTGTACATTTAGAAAAGGTTTTATTGAGATGATCATGCTTTATGCTTAGGCCTAGATTGATTTTGTTCTGGTTTAATCCTGATTTAGACTCAACCTTGGTCTAAAACTTTACATAATTTAACTGTCAAAACTTTTAGTACTTAAAGCTTGACTTGTGCTTGAGTTCACTTCTTGTTTTATTTTCTCTTTTTAGTGAACAAGCTCTCCTGAATGCTCGCCGTGAGCCGGTGCTGCTGAGAGAGAGAGTCTACGAACGAGTCCGATATCCAAACGTCTACGACAGCTACGCCGAGGCCACCAAGGCGCCGGCGTTTGTGGGAGGAGCCAGGGTAATAAAAGCAGCATCAATATCATTTTTTTTAGTAGAAATATCTCCAAAGTATTCATCTTTATAGCATTATTATTATATACTCTGTCTCATCACAAATCCACTGTGTTAATAGTCAGTTCGCCTGTCGTCCGTCTTATTTTAAAGGCTCATTTATGCTCCGGATGGTTTATTCTGTCTGTGCATTTTTGTGTTTGTCGTTTGGTCCGTATGCCCAGAGTTTGTGGAATCTTAGCAGGTGTGGGCAAACTTTTTGACTCGTGGGCCACAAAGGTTTCTAAAATTTGACGGAAGAGCCGAACCAGGAGCAGATGGATGTCATTTTTTGGTAATCCACCTCATAAGAGTAAAAAATAATACTCTTGAAAAATCATTACAAAGCAACAAAATATCTATGTTTTTCAAGTCTCACTGTATTTACTATTTATTGAAATGACTTTTAAAACACTGAAAATTATTATTATTATTACTATTATTCAAGTTTGGTGGGCCGGATTAAATAAATTAAAGGGATAGTTGTGAACACAGCTCAAAAGTGAAAATAAATATTAGAACAAGCTGCAAAACAAACAATACTTTTGCATCAATCTCTTTTTGACTGGGCAGATGAGGCTGCAGTAGTCGTTTACCACTTGTGTGTAATAAATGTAAATAGATGCATCAAGAGTTTCGGACTTCCGGTCATTGTGCAATCCACACTGGGAAGGATTTGCCGAAAAAGTGAGCATCAAATCGATCTGTTTGTTTTCCCAGTGGGATGCGTCTATTGACAGAGTCGATCTTTTCAAGTTTTTTGAACCATATCACTTTTGTTTCTGGTTCTGATATTGTCATATTTTAGTTTTGGGATTCGGACGTCGTAATTGTGTGATTGTGGATCCTAACAGTGGTAAACGACTGGAGAAATTTGTTTGTGAACTCCATAAATGCAAATGGAAATCAGATCTGTGTGACTGCAAACCTCTGTTCAAACTGTTTCCCTTCCCAACGGAATTGAAAAATAGTGAAAGATGAAGGCGATGGGCAGGACTGATCCACAGGAAGAACCAAAAAAAATTTGGCTGCCTAAATCATCCCGAGTTTGCAGCAAACATTTTGTATGTGGAGCGTCATCAAAGTAAAATTCCGATCCCTCGCTCAACCTTGGTTACGAATTTAAAAAGTCAACGCCAAAGCGAAAGGCACCAGCTGTTCACCAAGAAACACCTTCCACTGCAAAGAGACCAAGACGTGATGTTGCTGTAAAACCACAAGAACAAGAAAGTGCAGCTCAGTCTGTTTGTCTTCTGCACCTCTCGATTCACAAACAGGATTTTGCTTTGATGATGCTCCACGTGCAAAATGTTCTCTGCAAACTCAGGATGATTTAGGCAGCCAAAGATTTCCCTTTTCGTCCTTCCTGCGGATCAATCCTGCCCATTGTCTTTGCCTTTCACTATTTTTCAAATCCACTGGGAAGGGAAACAGTTTGAACAGAGGTTTGCTGATTCCCTTTTGCATTTATGAAGTTCTAAACAAATTTCTCAAGCCATTTTCCGCTGTTAGGATCCAACAACCACAAAATTATGATGTCCAAATCCCAAAACTAAAATATGACAATATAAGAACCAGAAACAAAAGTGATATGGTTCAAAAGACTTGAAAAGATCGACTTTGTCAATAGACGCATCCCACTGAGAAATCAAACATGGAATTTTATGCTCACTTTTTCAGAAAATCCTTCCCAGTGTGCATTGCGCAATGACCTGCAGTCTGAAATTGCATCTATTGTGACATAAAGTGCTTTGGGTTTCTTGAACGGTGCTGCACAAATCCAGTGCATTATTATTATTATTATCAAGAAATGATGCATAAATGTTATGTAACTATGCTTAGAAAGTACAGACCTGATTGCTCACCAAAATGGAGAATAAATTAGCCTTAACCCTGCAGAAAAGAAGAGTATAAGTGGCATCTCCATGGCAATACCACGTTTCTACATACAACCATTAATGAGTAGTATTAGCGTAACCTTGACATGACATTAAAATAATTGGGATTTACTTTAAGTAGCCATCAATTAAAATGATCCAGAGCTTTAATGAGGACAGAATGAGCAGCTTCAGGACACAATTAATGGGTTTTCAACACTTTTCACCTAAGCCTTCTCCATAATAAGGAAAAGTGCTATTCATCTGATGTCATAATATTCTAATGGAACTGTTGCCATAGCAGTTGACAATTAAAATGGCATTTTTTCCCCCAACTTTGTTTATTGAACATTTTTAACATTAACAGAGCCCCTCCTTGAACCGTCACCTTATCGTGGTGGAGGGGTTTGAGTGCCCGAATGATCCCGGGAGCTATGTTGTCGGGGGCTTCATGCCCCTGGTAGGGTCACCCAAGGCAAACAGGTCCGGGGGGACGGGTCAGACGAAGAACGGTTCAGAAGCCCCTATGATGAGTGTACGAGCAAGGCCAGTTACGTCGCCCGGATTGGCGTCACCGGGGCCTCACCCTGGAGCCAGGCCTGGGGTGGGTGCTCGCCAGCGAGCGCCTGGTGGCCGAGCCTCCCCCCACGGGGCTCGGCCGGGCTCAGCCCGAAGGAGCGACGTGGGGCCGTCCTCACGTGGGCCCACCACCCGCAGGAGGATCCATATGGGGCCGGTGCAGAGAGATCTGGGCAGCAGTCGACGGCGGGGGCCTCGGCGACCGGATCTCCGGACATGGAGACTAGCTCTGGGGACATGGAATGTCACCTCGCTGGGGGGGAAGGAGCCTGAGCTTGTGCGGGAGGTTGAGCGTTACCGACTAGATATAGTCGGCCTCACCTCCACGCACAGTTTGGGCTCTGGAACCCAACTCCTTGAGAGGGGCTGGACTCTCCATTTCTCTGGCGTTGGCCGCGGGGAGCGGGCGGCGGGCTGGTGTGGGCCTGCTCATTGCCCCACAGCTCAGCCGCTGTGTGTTGGAGTTCACCCCGGTGAACGAGAGGGTCGCGTCCCTGCGCCTTCGGGTCGGGGACAGGTCTCTCACTGTGGTGTCGGCCTACGGGCCGAACAGCAGTGCTGAGTACCCGGCCTTCTTGGAGTCCTTGGGAGGGGTACTAGACAGTGCACCGACCGGGGACTCCGTTGTTCTCCTGGGGGACTTCAACGCCCACGTGGGCAACGACAGTGACACTTGGAGAGGGGTGATTGGGAGGAACGGCCTCCCCGATCTGAACCCGAGTGGTGTTTTGTTATTGGACTTCTGTGCTAGTCACAGTTTGTCCATAACAAACACCATGTTCGAGCACAAGGGTGTCCATAAGTGCACGTGGCACCAGGACACCCTAGGCCGGAGGTCGATGATCGACTTTGTCGTCGTGTCATCTGATCTCCGGCCGCGTGTCTTGGACACTCGGGTGAAGAGAGGGGCTGAGCTGTCAACTGATCACCACCTGGTCGTGAGTTGGGTTCGCTGGCGGAGGAGGAAGCCGGAAAGACCTGGCAGGCCCAAGCGTGTAGTGAGGGTCTGTTGGGAACGTCTGGCGGAGCCCTCTGTCAGAGGGACCTTCAACTCGCACCTCCGGGAGGACTTCTCCCGGATTCCGGGGGAGGCTGGAGATATGGAGTCCGAGTGGGCTTCATTCTCGGCCTCTATTGTCAATGCAGCTGCTCGGAGCTGTGGGCGTAAGGTCTGTGGTGCCTGTCGCAGCGGCAACCCCCAGAACCCGGTGGTGGACACCGGAAGTAAGGGATGCTGTCAAGCTGAAGAAGGAGTCCTATCGGGCCTTGCTGGCTCGGGGGACTCCTGAGGCAGCTGACAGGTACCGGCGGGCCAAGCGTGCTGCAGCCCGTGTGGTCGCGGAGGCAAAAACTCGGAGCTGGGAGGAGTTCGGGGAGGCCATGGAGAAGGACTATCGGACGGCCTCAAAGAGATTCTGGCAAACCGTCCGGCGCCTCAGGAGGGGAAAGCAGTTCTTCACCAACACTGTTTACAGTGCGGGGGGAGAGCTGTTGACCTCGACTGGGGACGTTGTCCGGCGGTGGAAGGAATACTTTGAGGATCTCCTCAATCCCACCGTCACGTCCTCCGAGGAGGAGGCCGAGGCTGGGGACTCGGAGGCGGACTCATCCATCACCCTGGCCGAAGTCACTGAGGTGGTTGGCAAGCTCCTTGGTGGCAAGGCTCCGGGGTTGGATGAGATCCGTCCTGAGTACCTGAAGTCTCTGGATGTTGTGGGGCTGTCTTGGCTGACACGCCTCTTCAACATCGCGTGGCGGTCGGGGACAGTACCTCTGGACTGGCAAACCGGGGTGGTGGTCCCTCTGTATAAGAAGGGGGACCGGAGGGTGTGTTCCAACTATAGGGGGATCACACTTCTCAGCCTTCCCGGTAAGGTCTATGCCAGGGTACTGGAGAGGAGAATCCGGCCGATAGTCGAACCTCGGATTCAGGAGGAGCAGTGTGGTTTTCGTCCTGGCCGTGGAACACTGGACCAGCTCTACACTCTCCATAGGGTGCTCGAGGGTTCATGGGAGTTTGCCCAACCAGTCCACATGTGTTTTGTGGATCTGGAGAAGGCATTCGACCGTGTCCCTCGTGGTGTCCTGTGGGGGGTGCTCTGGGAGTATGGGGTCCGGGGCCCTTTGCTAAGGGCTGTCCGGTCCCTGTATGACCGGAGCAGGAGCTGTGTTCGCATTGCCGGCAGTAAGTCAGACCTGTTCCCGGTGCATGTTGGACTCCGCCAGGGCTGCCCTTTGTCACCGGTTCTGTTCATTGTATTTATGGACAGAATTTCTAGGCGCAGTCAGGGGCCGGAGGGGGTCCGGTTTGGGGACCACAGGATTTCATCTCTGCTGTTTGCGGACGATGTTGTCCTGTTGGCTTCATCGAACCAGGACCTGCAATGTGCACTGGGGCGGTTTGCAGCCGAGTGTGAAGCGGCTGGGATGAAGATCAGCTCTTCCAAGTCCGAGGCCATGGTTCTCGACCGGAAAAAGGTGGCTTGCCCTCTCCGGGTGGGTGGGGAGTCTTTGCCTCAAGTGGAGGAGTTCAAGTATCTCGGGGTCTTGTTCACGAGTGAGGGAAGGACGGAACGTGAGATTGACAGGCGGATCGGTGCAGCTTCGGCAGTGATGCGGTCGCTGTATCGGACCGTTGTGGTGAAGAGGGAGCTGAGTCGAAAGGCGAAGCTCTCGATTTACCGGTCAGTCTTCGTTCCTACTCTCACCTATGGTCATGAGCTCTGGGTAGTGACCGAAAGGACGAGATCGCGGATACAAGCGCTCGAAATGAGTTTCCTCCGCAGGGTGGCTGGGCGCTCCCTTAGAGATAGGGTGAGGAGCTCAGTCACACGGGAGGAGCTCGGAGTAGAGCCGCTGCTCCTCCACGTCGAGAGGAGCCAGTTGAGGTGGCTCGGGCATCTGTTCCGGATGCCTCCTGGGCGCCTCCCTCGGGAGGTGTTCCGGGCATGTCCCGCCGGGAGGAGGCCCCGGGGAAGACCCAGGACACGCTGGAGGGACTATGTCTCTCGGCTGGCCTGGGAACGCCTCGGGGTCCCCCTGGAGGAGCTGGAGGACGTGTCTGGGGTGAAGGAAGTCTGGGAGTCCCTGCTTAGGCTGCTCCCCCGCGACCCGGCCCCGGATAAGCGGACGAAAATGGATGGCGGTTAGTAGTAAATAAATACACAATGTAAATGAATAAAAAAAAAAAAATAAATAAAAAAAAATAATAAAAAGAAGAACTAAGTCAAAAATAAATTAAAAAATAAGAAGTAGGGATGCGAAAGGAGGAAAGGAGCACATAGAAGTAAAAAGCTTACATGGGATAAGAAGAGGGAGAAAAAGAGGGGAAGAAAGGATTATTTCCCATACTTTAGTCATCCTCCAGATCCTGAGGAAGAGTTAAAGAGTCGATGTGACGTATAATAATAATAAAAATAAAATAAATAAATAAATACATACATAAATACATAAATAAATAAAAATAATAATAAAATACAATTCTTAAAATATAAAAAATTAAATAAATTAAAATAAATTAGAAATAAATTAAAATAAATAAATAAATAAAATAAAAAAGAAAGAAAGAAAGCACTTCACGAACCCAGCGGAGATGTGTCAGGGTATGGGGAAGTTTCCAATTAATTAAAATGGCTTTTAAGTGACAAAAAATCTCTAAATTGCATACATCACAGCAAAAAAAGTTGTCTGGTGTGGTACATACTTTGAGCTTTGAACTGTTTTACCAACTCCGACAAGCTACGAAAACTAAATCTTTCGTTGGACCAAACAGAAATCTTCCCTGGCCTCCAAATCTCCTTGAGAGTTGCATCTGCGTTTCAGATCGTGGCGTATACGGTTCCTCTGCACAGTCTTTGAGGTGCACTGTTTTCAGACGTGTGTTGTTGTATCTTTGTGTGACATTCAGATGCTGCTGCCCGAGGGAATACGGCGAGAAAACACAAAGATGTACGAGGAGGTGGAGATCCCGCCCAGTGACCCAATGCCTATCGGCTTTGAAGAGAAACCTGTCTACATCTCGGAGCTGGACGAGGTAAAACACACACACACACTCATAATGACAATCTGCCTCTGCTTCGATCTGAGGTTTTCAGACTGCGGCGCTTGTACTTCTCAACATTTGCTTTGGAGTGTTACGTTTTTCAGCTAGAATCGTGTTGTTAAGTTAAAAACAGTGATCACGTACAATGTTCTATTTACAATTTCCTCTTTTTTTGCGACAACACATCTCATATTAGTAAGGGATTACGATACTTTAAAGCTGGAGCCATGGTGAGGACTGTGACAGAAATGTACGAGGGAGGTTGAGGTGAGAAGGCTAAGATAGAGGCAGTTAATGAGATATACAATTGTAATCCTGCATTATGATAGATTATTACTTTATTGTTTGCATATTTTATACAATTTGTGGTTAAACAGACACGTTTTAAACTTGTTTTATGGCTAAGGAACAAAAACAAAAACAGCTGTTAAGTTTCTGATTCATCATCTCTTAACTCTTTCCTCCATGAAGACGACATTTGACGACCCCTCTTGTTTACTTAATGACGTGTTTTGACACCTCCGCTGTGTCACTAAAGACGTGATTTGACGACCATTAGAAACGGCTCGGTTTTTCACATGTAAACAGAGGCTGTGACAGGTCGGGGCCACTACAACCCACACTAGACTGACCAATAGGATTCAAGGAAATGTTTACGCCGATTTTTTCCGAAGTTAATCGAAGTAGTGACGATTGTAGCTTCTGGAAAAAACACAACACGAAACACGAGCAATGGAAAGATCGCGGTGCGGGGAATTTCAGAGAGTGAATCTTACGAAGGTGAGAATGCCGCTGATGCGTCTGTGTGGAGTCCTGCGATATCCAAACAAACTATCAGGGACTTTATGCTCGATTATGAACCAAAATTGCCCTGAAATCTGGATGTTTCTCAGGCAAGTCCTTTGAAATATTTCAGTCTTTTTCTCCAAGATGCGATGTATGACAGAATCGCTACAGAAACAAACACTTATATGGAGCTCTGCGCATGAGAAAGTCACCAAGATGACAAATACTTGACACCCACTGACGATGAAGTGTTTTATTATTATATTATTATATTATAATAAGCTGAATGAGTTGAATAAGTAAAAGGGAAAAAAAGAATTAGGTCCACACAGGTGTACAACAGGTAAAAACAGGTGAACACTTGGCTTTACTGTATCTGGTGATATGAAATCTGTTTAAATACTTTGACAAAGTATATTTTTTAAATTTTTTATGAATATATTACTCAGAACATGCATATATCAGATGCTGAATGTAGTTTTTTGTTTTCGATTTTGCACCTGACCAGGTAAACTCTCATTTTCAGTGAGCTGTTATAAAACTGTAAACCAGTTGAATCACATTTAAACATCCATAAATGAAGAGTTCAGAGTCTAAAGTTTCCAGAGATACAAATATGTCTGTGTTACAATTAAGTTCATGAGGGTGAAAATCATTTATAATCACTCGTGGAAGTCTGTTTTCATTTATGTATTTCTATTCTATGGGCAGCTCTAGTCATATATGTACGGGATGTTCCTTGTCGTCCAAGGGGGAAAGAGTTAAACAACACTATAGAATAAAGAGTTGAGGCTGATGTGATTAATGGAGGCTGGTTGAAGGTTTGGCGCTGTCAGTGTGAGTTTCTTTGGTTTGAACTGCATCATGTGACGTAGAAAGACCTGTTTTACTTGTGCTAAAGAAAACTGTGCAAGGGTAAAAGGTGTTGGCAAGACTGACTGATGTCACTTCTGGTGTTCCTTAGCTTTGTGCTTCAGTTTGTTCTTCTGTGCTGATGAGGATTCTCCAAGAGTGTGGCCATTGATGCTTTCCTAGTCACTCATTTTATGCACATGCTTACAGTTTTCAGTTTTCAGTTTGTTTTAATACTGCTTAATTAGCTTTGTTTTCCATTTAAAGTGATTTTTTTTAATTTTCTCGCCAAATTCCTTTGTGCTCATATGCAGAATAATGCATTTTATGTGGGAAAATAGCTGTGTCCACTCCACTAAGACATGACCACAAGGCCACAAGATCAATCGCAATCAAATAATCACAATTAGCAATTTGCAAAGGCTGCACTTATTTAGGCAAAACTGTCCTCAGTGGAGAACCAAATACCCAGGACTATGCAGACTTATTCCGTATAAAACCTGCCAACCCTGTAGTTTAGACGTCTACAAATGTGCGTTGTTCTTTTGATTTGTTTTGAACATCTTTTAACGTCTTTTATCAAATAATAATGCTCTTAAGGTGTTGAGGTTATGTTAGGTAAGGTTTTGATTAACATTTTGTATATTCATAATCATTTGAACTAACTGTAATTTTGCAATATTTCAGCCTTATTTTATTAAACTATGACATACATTTTACATTTTGTTACACTATAAACACAATATTAATCTGAATTGTACTACTCGTATAAATAAGTTCACTCACTTCCTGTTCAAAACGACAGAACTTCTGCAAATAAGACCAACAACTGCAAATAAGAGAGAAGTAAATAGGGATAGGTGTAATAGAACTTTTCCTGATTCTGTTTTTTACATTTTAAAGTAAGTAAATAAACTGAGTAACATTTTTACCTTATTAAACATCTTTGTAAATCCTAGATGCACCTGTACTCACTGACTGGATCAAAGTAGTTAACGAAATTTATGACATGGAGAGACTGACATTTTCATTGAGACTTTATACTGCTAAATGTAACAAGTGTCGGAGGAAATGGGCCGATTATTTGGCTTCGATATGTTAATACTGTGAAGATGGATACTTATTGTTTTACTCTAGATGCTCTGAGTTTTATTCATTTCATTCATTTATTTTATTTGTTTGAGCCATGTACAACAAAATTCAAAAACAATAACAAAAATAGTGATATGTACATGAACATATTTGGGACCTGGTGCTCAAAAGGAGTAGAATGAACTTTAAAAAACTTAGAGTCCTGCCCCAATTGTTTTACGTAATCATGTGGTTCACTTTTTATATCACCTTTGGAATGCTTACCTGTCATTTGCAAAAAAATAAAACACATATATACATACATACATATACATACGCATCATAGAAATCCAGTACATATAGTCAATATAAATGTTTATACACATAAATGCATAACACACATATACATACATGCAGAAACATATTTTCGTTTATGGTCGTACATACAGTGTTGGGGAGTAACAGATTACATGTACCAGAGTTACGTAATCAGAGTACAAATTATGAGTAACTGTATTCAGTTACAGTTACTGTTTCAGTGAGTGGTAATTGGATTACAGTTACTTTGTTGAAATAAATGAAATAAAAAAATAAACACAGATTTATTTTCCTCTTTTCACATTTTGGGTTATATCTCTCTTTTTTTTTTTTTTTCCTCGGTAATTCCACTCATTGTCGGACACTAAACCAGGTCTAAACCAGGACTAAACCAGGACTAAACCAGGTCTAAACCAGGTCTAAACCAGGTAAACCAGGTCTAAACTAAACCAGGACTAAACCAGGACTAAACCAGGTCTAAAGCCAGGTCCAAACTAAACAGGACAGGTCCAAACCAGGTAAAGGTCTAAACAGGTCTAAACCAGGACTAAACCAGGTAAACCAGGTAAACCAGGTCCAAACCAGGTAAACCAGGTCTAAACCAGGTCTAAACCAGGACTAAACCAGGTCCTAAACCCAGGTCCAAACCAGGTCTAAACCAGGACTAAACCAGACTAAACCAGGACTAAACCAGGTCTAAACCAGGTCTAAACAAAAACCAGGACTAAACCAGGTCCAGGTCAAACCAGGTCTAAACCAGGTCTAAACAGGACTAAACCAGGTCCAAACCAGGTCCAAACCAGGTCCAAACCAGGTCTAAACTAAACCAGGACTAAACCAGGTCTAAACCAGGTCAGGTCAGTAAACCAGGTCCAAAACCAGGTCTAAACCAGGTCCAAACCAAACCAGGACTAAACCAGGACTAAACCAGGTAAACCAGGTAAACCAGGTCCAAACCAGGTCTAAACCAGGTCTAAACCAGGTCTAAACCAGGTCTAAACCAGGTCCAAACCAGTCCAAACCAGGTCTAAACCAGGACTAAACCAGGACTAAACCAGACTAAACCAGGTAAACCAGGTCTAAACCAGGTCTAAACCAGGTAAACCAGGTCTAAACCAGGTCTAAACCAGGTAAACCAGTCTAAACCAGGACTAAACAAACCAGGTCTAAAACCAGGTCTAAAACCAGGTCTAAACCAAGTCTAAATCAGGTCTAAACCAGGTCTAAACCAGGTCTAAACCAGTCTAAACCAGGTAAACCAGGTCTAAACCAGGTCTAAACCAGGAATAAACCAGGAATAAACCAGGAATAAAACCAGGTCTAAACTGTCTCAAACAGGATTTAACAGGACTAAACCATGCCGTGCGGACCGTGTCTCCTCGTCTTCTGTCAATAATATTTTTAATTTGGTTAAGTAAAGTCTGATCTTTTTTTTTTTTTTTTTAGCAGACAAAACATCTTATGTGACGATATCCGAGTCTTTGCTTCTCTACAGCAAACCAAGTAATCCAAAGTATTCAGATTACATTACTCACTTTAAGTAATTTATTGGATTACGTTACAAACTACATTTTGGAGTATGTAATCTGTAGGGGAATACATTTTAAAAGTCACCTTCCCAACACTGCGTACATACTTATTAATTATAATGTTAATGTAGGCACAAAGTTTATCGTTTATGATCATACAAAATAAATAGTAATGAGAATGGAAGAATTTTATTTTATTTGGTTGTTGTGGTCTGCACTTTAGTTTTGTTTTGATCTATAAATGTTCTAAAAGTTTCAAACACATACAAAAATAAAGAAAAAAAAAAAACATCTTTGTAAATCGTTATGATGGTTAAATATGGGGTTAAATTTGTGGTGCTCGAAGCGTCTCCAGCTGATGTCTCCATGCGGAAAACCAACCCTGCAATATCTGGCTCTTTAAAAAAATATTTGGCAATATTATATGCTTTTTAT